ACACACACACACACACACACACACACACACACACACACACACACACACACACACACACACAGTGAAATAGATATAGATGATATGCATGTTTTGAGGACCATCTTTGTAAGCCCACAGTGCCACTTCTGAAACACTTTATAACTGCCAAGTATGTGTGCTTGATGTTTCCTTTTTAGGTCTGTTTCCATAAATATAAGGTAGTATGCAGTAAATCTTTCATTCAGAGATGTGAGTGTCAGCACAGTACATTACAGAAGATGTTACACAAGTTCACAGCACATCAGTTTTTGCTGACCTATGGCCTGAATAGGGTTTAGCACTTGTTTTGGGAAAGGTTATTTAACACCTCACCGATCTGCACACAGACTTGTTTCTATTGATGCTGTTGGACTGTGGCTTTTTGTTCATAGATGAATTATTTTAAATCTAATGGATTTTATTGTATCTACAGTAGATCAATGCTGTAGTGTGAAATTTCTGAACTAAGCATGTGTATCATTTTTTTCTCTCACAATAAAGCCTTCAATATCTATTCAGTGTCTGCTATAATCATTATGTAAAATGTCATTTTGATATGATGTATTATTTGCTTTAAAATTTTTTACATGCCACAAAACATGGGATGGTTTTAACATGCATCCTGACATGTAGTGTAGTATAGCATCGTAGTAGTGTCTGTCTATATCGGTGTGTATAAATATTAATGTGGTGATCTACTTATAGATCCTTAATCCCAAACGGACAAAGACACCAATCCATAATCCTGAATCTCCTCCCACAACACCGCACAGCAGCATGACGAAACACATCTGATTACATTTTCATTAGCGGTAAAGTGACCTAACATTCTGTGCCAGTTACATCCAAATATGATCTAACATGAAACGATGCCAAAACCCCACATTTTTAGTCATTTCCAGGTTTAGAGATCACAGTTTGGGCGTTTCAGGTGAACTGCCCTGGATGAAGAATTTTAAACGTAATAAAAAAAGAAAGAAAGAAGAAGAAATTAAGCCTTGGTCAGCCATGGACACTTGACCTAGGTAGAACGCAGTCCTCATTTACCCCTTACCTCCCTCTCAGTTTGGTCTGTATTTCCATCTCCCTCCCCTTTGCTCTCTCTCTTGTTATGTAACACTGCAGTTCTGCAAAGCTGCTGATGTGACAGATCCAAGTACCTGCACACACAGACACCCACACCCACTGATCAACCAGATCCCTCTGTACTTGATTGTGCTTGTTGTCCTTGTTGCTGTCATCATTATTGATCCCAACATTGATTACCGCTGCCCTCGGGATTTTATTGAACACTGTTACTCTGATGTGATGTGACTGGATCTTAGCCACTCTTTTCCCATCTACTGGTATGCAGCCTACACTGTAGCCCATGTTATTTTGTCATTTGTTTCATTGCCTGTGTGTGTGGAATTGGATGCCACACACAAAAAAAGAAGGGACAGGAGAAGAGGGAGACGGAGAGGTAGCTGGGTTACAACCATGTGACCTCACCAGCTGTTGCTGTATGCTGTTGGGAGAAACGAAGAGGGAGGTGAGGGCCAGGAGCAGGGGCGAGAATAAGAGAGGGAGGGGTGGCACACAATGTGACTGGTGACAATCCCTTGGTCTGCAGAGAGAGAGAGGGAGGTAGGGAGCAGGGGATGAATAAACACATGCACGGGCAGAGATGTGAAGAGGGAGCTCACACACACACGCACCTCCTGATTCAGCGGAACAGATTTATTCGTCACCTCTCCCTGCAGCCTCACGCAGAGAGCCTGATGCAAAACACAAGGCAACCCCAAACCCAGCAGCACAGGTCCCGTTCATCATCCCGCTGTCTGCCTGCATAGCTTTAAGCCTCTGTCACAACTCTGTCTGCGTGCTCGCCGGTGTCCACTGCAGCTAAGGGACACGGGACCGTCTGAGAAGCCACCGGAGGGACGAGAGGCGCATGCGAATGATGGGAAACCTAAAGAGCGAGGACCGCATTGAGGATGGACCAGTGATGAAGCTGCGAGACAAATAAACGAACCAATAAAAGATCCATTTCTACCCTAGGACCCCCGGCAGGGGACATGATTATCATTATGGGATAGATGCACAAAGGGGGGGGGGAGAGAGAGAAATCTGCTCGTTGCCATGGATACCAGCACGCGAAAATTCACGGTGAGGAGATGGTTTTCTATTTACCTGAAGAACAAGGCGGCAAGAAACAAAAACACCGCTGGGTTCTGCCAGGTGGAGGTGAGTGGCCTTAGCAGATCATTTGGACACAAATGCAAATATGTTTGCTGTAAGGGGGGCTGCATCACATTTGCACCATGTGCGTTTGTGGGAATGTAACAGCCCAGACACCAGCTCACATGTGCAGCAGACAGTGGACTGCATGTGTGTGTGTGAACAGTCCGTGTGCACATGGGAATGATAGTGGAAAGAATGTGTGTTATTTGGTTTGTTTTGGAGTGTTTCAGGAGTCACTGCTGCGTCGTTCTACAGCTGTTGCTGCTTTCCCTGGCCGTGGGGAAGCTAGAAAATAGAGGAATACGAAGGGAGTCACTGTGCTGTGACGGACATAGAGAGAGAGAGAGAGAAGTTGTATGGAAATATAGTCAGACAGAAACGCTAACGGGCAAACAAGCAACAAGGCAGGCAGGTTGATAGATAAATGGATACAGACAGATTGATTCAGCGGTCAGCCTCAGCAGTGGAGGTTTATTTATAGCCCAAACAAAGCAGCAGGGCAGTGAGAGGCAGTGAGTCTTTTGTTGCAGATCTACCTGAATGTTTTGGATATTAATGGAGCAAAACCTCACCTTATCCCTCCCTTTTCTTTGTAAAGGAGTGCTGATGAATCATCTTTACAGGCTACCCGTTAACGTGATTGTTTTATTTTAGCAAATGCCTGCCTGCTTGAGTTTGTTTACCTGTCTAGTTGCCTGTCCCTGGAATGGGATGCTCTGATGCTCCATCAGGAGTAGGTGGAAATTACTCAGGCGACCTTGTTTAAGGAATAAACCAGCAACTAAAGAAAAGAAGGGAGCAGTTTGCTCAGTATGAGTTGAAACTTTCCAGCATGTTACAGTTGAAGCCAGGCCTTCAATGACCTCAAAGTGACTGATGAAAAATCTCATTACAATAAGTTGGACTTTATATTTTTATGTGTGTAAATTAGCTCATGGATTGATTTGATCGAAGTGCATCAACATGCAAAATACTATATAATACACACTGATATTTCAGTCACCCATTTATAATTCAATTCAGTTTTAAACAGTAAAATCTACAAAATGGCCGTTAAATATAACCTATTTTGCACATTTGCAAAAATGTTATTTTTTCATCTTCAAACTGGAAGAGATCTTCATCTCTTCATCTTACTTGAATCTATTGTACGTGTGTTGTGGGTTATAGATCTATATTCTTGCTATTCACTTATGTCAGTAATTGTATGGTTTTTAGACTTCCACTGTCTACACTGGTATGGCATAGTTCGTATTAGTCATTATTGTACTATCAAGATGAGAACCTTTCCTATGTTGTTTTCTTGATGGTACATCAATCTGGAAAATCAGACTGCAATTACCTCTGAATTCCTGATAGTTAGGAAAATAGTTTGGAGAAACCAGCTGTTTTATCCTTGCTATAATGACAATAACATTTGAAGGCTGTATTTATTTTCATGACTTGCTTTGGTGGACGTTTCTGGTTTAAGGGGAACTGTAGGAGGGAGATGGCATCAAAAGACTTGCCGTCACTGGAGAAATGAGACCATGTGATTATTTTCAGCCTCATGTGAACGTTCAGTCACTCTGGCTCCCAGATTGAGGGAAGAATTTCTTTCTCATATCAAACTATTCCACGAGGATGGGTTAGTAGCTGATTACAAGCTGCATTAAATGCATAAAAGGGTATGAAAATACCTCAGCCAAGTGATTCTTCAGGACAGACAGAATCTTATCATATACTAAAAATGAAGGTTATCTAACAGGTTTCATCAAACAAGTGGAGGCTAGAAGAATCGATTTATAACCATTACCCATATTTACCAAGTCCTGATAGTGTTTTGTACAGAATTACAGTATAAAAGAAGTTGCAGTGTATATCATAGTCACAATATCCAGTCTAAGCCTTGCCTCTTGTTGAAAGTTGGTCATTCACTTCATTAAGCAAACTGAATAGGCTGAAAAAGGCAGCTTACACTGTGCATGATTTCCAGTGACCTCAGCCAATATCTTGATGGCAATATAATGGCTTGTAGATGACTATCTATCTTTAGGTATGGATTTAATGAGTAATTATTACATTGATGGCCTTTTTAAATGCACATTGAGGTTATAGGGACACAATTTAATCATTGCTCATATGTTGTAAAGTGTAATTTCTTAACTCGTTTAAATCTCACCTTAACCCTAATCTACCAATAATGACTTCTATCTTTTCTTTCATCAGGATGACAGTGTACTTAAGGAGTTTGACATCAGCCACCATGTTAAGGAGGGCTGTGAGAAAGCAGACCCTTCACAGTTCCAACTGCTTAAAGTGCTGGGACAGGGATCCTATGGAAAGGTACAATGTGCAACCATTTACTTACTGCAGCTTTAAGGCTTTAATCTGATAAAAGTGATGGGACACTGACCTTACGGAAAATATCAGTGTTGACAATAAAAAAAACATAAATAACCTTAAAAGGTCTAGAAGGTCACCTCTGAGGCTACATGTATTTGGTATAATGATCATGTTAATATTTTTTATTCCTCTCGGTTTTATTAGAATATGTGGACTTCTCACTTGATGATGCCCAAAAGTAAGTGCACATTCGTGTGACTGTTGAGCACTTCATCCAGAAACCATCAGCATTAATATGCTGCTATAATTGCCTCCAGTCCTGTGGGAAGTATTTCCAAGATAGCCTGAAACCACACTGCAGGAATTTGCTCCTGCTCAGACACCAGAACGTTAAGGTCAGACAGTGATGTGGTGCAATATGGTCTGCCTCGCAGTCAGTGCTGCAAGTCCTCCCAAAGGTGTTGGATTCAGTTGAAGTGAGAGGTCTGTGCAGATTGGTCAAAGCTTTTCACACAAACTCAAGAAATCGTGGGGGTTTTATTGTACTTGCTTTATGCTATTGAAAAGAGGCGAGCATTTCTTAAAACGCAACTGTAAAAAAGAAGTGCACTATTGTTCAGGCAACTTAGAACTAAGGTCCTGCTTAACTCTAAAAAACTAGATTCAAATGAGCCAGGAGATGTCCACTTACCTTTTGGCACAGTGAATATATGCGTGTCTGATTTCAGTGCCGCAGCTGATTATGCTTTACCAGCCAATCATCTGCTAATGATAAGCCATCTAGTTCTAATTATCTGTAGATTAGCTGCCTTGACAACGGTTTCACAGATCACCAAGTTTATTTAAATTAGTAAAGGCTCACTGATTTGTTAATGTTACTGTAGATTAGAGATCGGAATGGGCCTTACATGAAACATCAGCAGATGTTGGCATGTGGCTGCCGTTTCCAAGGCTGCAGGCATGAACAAAAGGTCACGTCACAGTGTGGCTTAGACAGCATGTTTACATAGCTTGCTATATGTCTGCTAAATTATTGCAGACCTTGTTTAAATCGTAGCTGTTGTCTCTGTTGCACCGAAACCACATTGATGTGGCTCTTTTATGTAACGTGATGGTAACTTGCTCCGGCTTGGTAACCTACAAAGGGTGAATATAGCATTTTTAAATGTTGTGAAATATAAATGACAAGTTTGCTTTTTTTCTTTTGTTTCAGAAACGTCACTACGAAAGAACAGTTGCACAAAATGTGATGTTTATGGTAATTATCATTGCAGGTGTTTCTGGTTAGAAAAATAAGAGGAGTGGACAGAGGACAGCTATATGCCATGAAGGTCCTGAAGAAGGCAACGCTAAAAGGTGATTTAGTGCAAATACACTTGGCATATTGCCCCATTGGCATCATTTCAAATAGTAATAATAATTTTTTTAAAAATTTCTTTCAAACAAAGCCCTTTTGTATCATGTTCTTGTTATTGGCTATATTTAAAGAAAGAAACAAAACAAGCACAGCTCCACAGAGGATTGGATCTGAGTCATGGTCATTTGTTAAAATTATTATTGGTTTAGTAGAGGAGCAATAGATATATCATTGCCCAAGTTCTCACAGTGCCCTACATTCAAGGGGATTTTGGGTAAAGAGGTTAGTTTGTACTTTTGATTCAGATAAACTGTTTTGCGTCAGCCGAGATTATTGTAAACAGGGGTGTACTTTAAAAGCAGGTTCAGATGTCATGTGCTGATTTAGTGACTTTGTACAAGCCTTAATCCTCTTAACCTGCACCTCTGGAATCTAAAGAGTTACACTGTCATCTTGTCAAGCAGACAGATGTTGCAATAACACTGTTATTGTGGTTTTCATTTCACTATAAACCAGCTACACTGGATTTAATTTACCTTAATTTCAAGGAAATGCATTCTTATCCTACATAACACGTACTCGTGTTATTAGACTTGTGACATTTTACAGAATAAACTGGCTGAAACTTCATTAAAAAGACTGCCTTCTATCTCCTACTCAGTTCGGGATCGTGTGCGATCGAAGATGGAAAGAGATATACTGGCTGAAGTGAACCACCCATTTATAGTTAAACTTCACTATGGTGAGTATGAGTTACTTGTGCTTTTTCAGCATGTATGTGTTGGAATCTATTGGCCTTATACATGTAGAATGATACATAGTGTTAATAGTGAATGTTTGGCCATTAAACATGGCCTAAGATTTGATAAGTAATAAGGCAAAAACTCAGATTGCCCTAAATGCTCTATTTCAGAGTTTTTTTCTTTTCTTGGTTGTGTGCTGTTTTCCGAATAGCATCCACTTAAAGGGAAAATTGAGTTTAAGTAGGGGAAAGAAAGCTGAAGTGGCTTATTTCAGACAGTAGATGAACCAAGGGTTAGTAGTAAAGCCCAGTACAGGGCAAATAAGGATATTGTTGAACTATGAATCATGCAAAGCTACTTTAATAGAGTTAAGGAATAAAGGTGTGGAACCAGAAATGAGCATAGAAAAATTGTGTTGGGTAAGTCATTATTTGTTTAATAAATGTTGTTTAGCGTTGGTCTATATTCCTCGTCCCTGTAGTTCTAAATCAACAGCTAGTGTCTGTTTAAATGGGGCTGTGTGCTGTTGGGGGACTTCAGCGGGGCAGTTGACTAATTAGTCATTTTGATCTGTTACACAAAGACAAGGTGACATTTCACAAGTCATTTTTCTCATTGCATACATGTTCAAAAATGAGGGAAAAGTCATTGTAGTCTGCCCTTATTTGTATCTATACACAACTGCAGATAAATGTGCAGACTGTGCACAAAATAATAGAATACTTTATAGTCCTCAATACAGCAATTAAAGCCTCAAGACGTGTTTAACTTGCATTTCTGTTTGTGCATGTATTTATGTATTTGTGTAGCCTTCCAGACAGAAGGGAAGCTCTACCTGATCCTGGATTTCCTCCGAGGAGGAGACCTTTTTACTCGTCTGTCCAAGGAGGTAGGCTTCCTGGTTCAAATCATAATCCACTGCTCACTGTTTGTTATGGGAAGGTGTTTGTATAACTCCCATCATTCGCCTGTGAAAGAGATCAAAGACAGTCATTTTTTTTGTACTTTAAAGGAGGCACACATATTGAGACAATGTGCCATAGTTCGGTTGGCTCTGGTGAAAAGCGAATTTCATAGGAGAGAGCTCAAAAACAAATATGTGAATCAATAACAGACCAGTTTCCCCTTACTTTTCGTTTTTGCACATTATATTTAATACATTTGTTCATTTGTACTAGGTAATGTTCACAGAAGAGGATGTGAAGTTTTACCTTGCAGAGCTGGCTTTGGCCTTGGACCATTTACACAGTCTGGGGATCATCTACAGGGATCTCAAGCCTGAAAAGTACTAGCTCATAAACATCCCTTTTATGCATTTTAGAAAAAATATTTCGATGCTGATTTTAAAGTTCTTTTCTCCCTCTTAAGCATTCTACTGGATGAAGAAGGACATATTAAGATTACAGGTCAGTACAGCTGACTGAAAACTGTAATTCTCTGCTTTTCTGTCTCTATTTGTCTTTTGACTATGATCCCCTTTTGTCTCTGTCTCACTATCCAGACTTTGGCTTGAGTAAGGAAGCTATTGACCATGATAAAAGGGCTTATTCCTTCTGTGGAACAATAGAGTACATGGCTCCAGAGGTTGTAAACAGGAGAGGTCATACACAAAGCGCTGACTGGTGGTCATTTGGCGTGCTTATGGTAAGTCTTTTACTTTGATAGTCTCTCTACACTTCTGACATGCATGACTAATTTTCCTTCTGAGCATGCAGTCACTCTGCTGGCTTGTATGTTTTATCTAATAATGAATTAACTGCAAACTCAGTTCTTAGATAATATGCCAGTGCACTGATTTCTTCGTTTGGCTTTCCTCTGGCAGTAAAACAACTTTAATTACTGTATCTGGCAGATTAGGTCCCATTATTTTCAGCAAACGTGCATCTGCTGGATGCTGCTTGTTTCGCTAGCCTGGTGGCTTACTTTACTAATACTGAGAGGTTAAACATTCACTGACAGCTGGCAGCTACATTAGGTCACCAGGGGAAGATGTCAACCCTGTCTGCCCTTGTCTGGTGTCAGGAATGTACTGATATTAAAATAAACAAATAAATAGCCGAAGATTTCTCAATGTGCTGTAGAGATATTGAAAAGTAAAAGAGATTTCTGAAAAAAAGAGAACTCCTTCACATTGTAATCCAATCTTTAATGTGGGTGAATACCATTGGGTGTGGCAAAGTCTATTATCAGGGTGCACAGTAGGTTAGGTTTGTTACAGTGTTAACCAGTGTATATCTTTATTTTATGCCTCTCAGCCTTTTCCAGTTAAATGTGATTTAGGTCATGGTATTATGCATTAATTTCAACAGCTTTGTTTCTGATTTGGCCCGTTTGCAGTGGAAGTCAAATGACTAATAAAATTTGAAGCAAGCATGCTAATGAGATAATCCACCTCCACAGCTTCCATTATTGGGCGGACGTGTTTTGACAGTTGTTTCGTTGTGTTTTCCAGTTTGAAATGTTGACGGGATCATTACCCTTTCAAGGAAAAGATCGGAAAGAAACAATGGCACTTATTCTAAAGTAAGACTAATTATTGTTGCTATTTTATTGAACCTTCACATCTTTTGCAGGATGTAATGTTTAAAAATTCTTATCTGTTTCCCATTGTCCAACTGCATTTCAATTATCTATATTGTATCTTTGATTTCTGAGGGTTGCTTTATAGGATAAGCTGCTTATATAAATCTGCAATTATTAACCTCAAGAGATCCACTATACCTGAATGAACATAAAAATAAACTGTCAGCAGACATAAACATGCATAAACCTGTTTCTTGGCTTGTGTGTTCAGGGCTAAGCTGGGAATGCCACAGTTCCTCAGTCCTGAAGTGCAGAGTTTATTAAGAGCGCTCTTCAAGAGAAATCCTGCTAATCGACTTGGTATGTATAAAAACCTTGAACAATGACAATTAAATGTGTTTTTAGAATAAATTTAGAAACTTAAACATCAGCAGTTTGTGTCCATTTGGTTAACTTTTGAAGTCACTTCTTATTTTACACACTCTCTGGTCTCTTGTACACCTGGTACACCTAATCAGCACCTCATTTGGGCAAATATTTTAGCAATTCAGCAGCAAATTGCATCACATGTCACATGTTTGGCATGTAGACATGGTCAGGATAACCTGCTGAAGTTCAAATGTGACATTAGAATGGAGTGAAAGGTGAGCTGAGTGACTTTGACTGTAGCAGGGTTGTTGGTGTCAAATGGGCTGAGCTGTATATTTCAGAAACTGTTCTGATCTACTGGGATTTTCCCACATGTTTAGTGAGTGGCAGCTCTCTGAGCAAAAATGCCCTGTTGATGTAGAAGAGCATGAATGAATATACAATACATTGAACCACATGGGCTACAGCAGCAGAAGACCACACCTCATGCTGCTCCTGTCAGCTAGAACAGGAAACTAAGGATATGCTCACCCAACTGGACAACAGAAGCCTGGAAGAAAAAAGTTTCCAGGTCTTATGAGTATCAATTTCTGCTGCAACATTTATATGACAGGGTCAGAAATTTGTTTACACATGAAAGCATGGGTCCATCCTGCCTTGTAGGAGGGTTAAGGCTGCTTATGATGGTGTAATAGTGTGGGGCATATTTTCTTGGTACATTTTGACCCCTTAGTATCAACATATCACATTTACCTGAATATTGTTAATGACCATGTACATCCCTTTATCCCTTTATAGTGTACCCATCTTCTGATGGCTGCTTCTGGCAGGATAATGTGTCATTTCGCAAAGCTCAGATAATCAAAAATGGTTTCTTGAACATGACAATGAGTTCACTGTACTCAAATGGCCTCTATAATCACCAGATTTCAATCCAATAGAGCACTTTTGGGATGTGGTGAGACGGGAGATTTAGAGCAATTGTGTGATCCTATCTAAATCTCTGAGGAATGTTTCCATCACCTTGTTGAGTCTGTAGTGTGAAGCATTAAGAAAATTCTCAAGGGAAAAGTACCAGTACTAACAAGGTGCTAATTTGGTTTAAAAAAAAAATCTATTCATATTACAAATGTACCACATATAACATTAGAAATGATACTTTGTCCATTCATGGTTTACAAGAAATTCACCTGCTAAATTCATGATCGTTTTAACAGTGATTTAAATGCAAGAGTGAGATGGCTCTCAAAATAGCTCTCAAAAAAATCACTAAGGGCAGTCGTCGCCCTGGAAACAGCTGTTTGACCTGTTGCCCTGTGGTAGATGTTACATTTCCACCAAAATAAAGGATAAATAGATTAAAGAACAGTTTTTTAAATGCACCATGGCATGGCGGATTTATTTATTTATTTGTACTTTTTACTCCTTCATATCCATAATTATTTATTATCTTCAACTGAAAGGGTTTGTTTTACTGTGTGAATGATTGTTGAATTGTGTGAATTGATTTTATTTTGGAGGTACATGCGGATGTAGCATTTCAGTTTTATTACATCTTATGATTTAATGACAATAAAAGGCATTGCGGTTGATTCTGATTCTCTTAATCTGTGTTACTTATAGGTGCAGGACCAGATGGAGTAGAAGAAATAAAAAGGCATCGCTTCTTTGCATCAATAGACTGGAATGTAAGCATAATTTATTAAGAGTATTCTGCAATATAGATATTTGGGTACTATAAACTTGTATTATACCGTTATTGTCTTATAACCACCGTCTTTCTCACATTTACGAATAACAATAATTTCTTACTACATCAACTACACTGCTGTTGTAGTTTTAAAGTGCAGTAATGAGATTATTGACCTGAGTTAAACTTAAAATCAGCATCACATGGATCAGGTTTACTTGGTCAAGACAACTCCTCCTTCACTTCCTCAAGAGTTGTCCATAGTCACGGCACTTTAACATGCTCATGTGATGTTGGTTAGCAGCAAAACCCCAAACTTCCTTTTCTGTCCATCTTGCCTAACTTTTTTTGCAACTAATCTTCTTATCTGTAAAAGCCTTTGTCTCAGAAAGTTGGCTCATGTGCAAATGTTTTCACTAAAGTCTTTATCCTAACTATCTTTATCTAACCTTGAGACCTCAGCTCCTTTGGATGTACAGTGAAAAACAATTTGCCCCCTTGGCGTTCTTCAAAATGCAAGCTGTGCTTATTGCATGTTAGAAAACAAAGCCCTCCTACACTATTTGTGGGCTGAAACATTTGTCAACAGAAGCAGAAAAAATATTCATGTCATTTTTATAAATTTGAAGATTGCATTTCTGATAGGGCTATTTCATTCCCATTCCATTCATCCAGCATTACTTTAAAAAAGTGACACATATTCATGTTGGTTACACACCACCAAGCCTGCTGGCTGCCATAAAAGGGGATTTGGTTTTTCTCTCTCCTTTAAATCAGTTTTAAAAGCAGAAATCTCAGCAAAGCAATCATAGACTCATTTGTTTTATTGATTGTAATCATCCTCCCTATAAATATCTGCTCTGATCTCTTAAAGCACCCTTCCTTTTTAATCACAGATGTTTGGAAGGCTTGGGACTCTCATTTATCTGCTTTTGTGAATTATGGCGCTCTTATTTCTATCAGAATCCACTATCATCGGCTTTACATGCTCGCTAATCTCTGCCCTCACCGCGGGTTCCCATTGCTGCCCTCCTCACTACATTACTACCTGCTCACTTCCACACAACATGCTCCCATTTACACATGGTGTTGCTGGCTTGATGTGACAACTGTCAGTAAGAGGCTTATGCTCTATTCTGCACTATGCTAATTAAATCACTGTACTCTATCAGGCAGAATGATTCCACATCATTCATCAGAACCTTTTCTGACTTTGCGGTCTTAGCCTTTCTTTAATGTCTTGATCTTTGAAATAGTAAAGATTTGTAGCCTCATTTTCTCAACACTATCAAATGAAAACCGAATACTCAAATGCATCAACACTTCCCAATTTCTAATAGTCTCTGTTGGTTACTTTCCATGTATGCTAGTAATAGGAACCCAGAAAGATTGTTCCCTTTAATGGGCACTGCAATGGTGACATCTGCAGGCTATACTCAGTATTACAGCATGTGCCTTTCTGCTGCTGTATGATAGCTATACAACCAGCCACCAGTCTTTACTTCATATTAATTTTTTATAATTTTTTCCCATTAGTGGATATTCACATTTATTCAGAAGTCCTGAGAGGTGTTTCAAGATAGGTGCCAAGTTGCAGCACTTGCTTCTAGAAGGACCTTGTTGTATTCTGTCACATTCTAATTTGCTCTACTTTTTTTCCTTTTTTTTTTTTTTAACTTCGGTTAATGAATAATTGAATATGATAGTCAGTGAAGAACAAAATATATTGTATGATGGATGGTTGCGTGGTGGTTAGCACTGTTGCCTGAGTTCAGCTCCACCATCTGGGTGGGGCTTGTCTGTGTGGAGTTTACATGCTCTCCTTGTGTTTCCGTGGGTTCTCTCTGGTTTTCTTCCACACTCCAAAGAATGCAATTATTGGGGTAATGGATGATTTGAAGTTGCCCATGTGAGTATGAACGGTTGTCTGTCTCACTGTGTTAGCCCTGCGATAGACTCCCCCACAACTCCGACAAGGATCAATCAATCAATCAAGGCTTTATTCGCCACGTGCAGGTTGCCCTGCAGTGAAATAGGACCCCACCCCCCCAACCTTACACACACAACACAGACATCACATGGGGATACAGGTCGGAGATCGGTAGCATTACAGAAAAAAAATACTGAAATAAACACTACAATACAAAAAAAGAGGGGCTCAGACCCGTCGTGTTCCCAGGAGGGAACAAGCATCGAAGGCATTTGGAAAGAGAAGGGGGATGAGTGTGTGCATATCAGTGTATATGTATGTGTGTGCGTGTCCAGAGTTCAGCTGAGACAGTGTCCGTCGCCCTGCCAGGCTAAGTAAACAGTCTTCCAGCCAACCCAGGTGGCCTTGCATGGAATGGGAAGGAACAGACTAAACACAGTCGTTATCAGGGTGTTTTTGTTTGGCTCCAGCCTTGCGACCGCAACTGGCGCCGAAAGGGTATCCGCATGAAGTGATGGTGCTTTTTACTTTAGTGCGAACAGCTCATATGAATTTCAAAGCAGTTCTACAGTCCAACACTGGTCTCTCAATCTCCCGTTGGAGAGCCGTGAGCTTCTCCATGATGTTATCAAACTTGCGCTCTGTGATGTTGTCATTCTTGTGGTCAATCAGCTGATTCTGAGAACTCACGACCACAGTGAGCCTCCCCAAGATGTAATCCAATTTGCGCTCAGAGATGTTATTCCGAGCGAGCCCTTCCAAGATGTAATCCAGTCTGCACTCAGAGATCTTATTCTGAGTATTCACAGCAGCCGTAAGCCTCTCCAAGATCTTATCCGTGCTGCACTCAATGAGGATAAGCAGAAGAGTTGAATGAATGGATGAATGAATGAATGAATGGATGGTGTAACAAGTGCTACAGTTTTGCACAGTGTCTGTCTGCTAGCTAATGGTACAGTGGCTGTACCCAGTGAGGAAAAAATGATAAAGTGGGATAATATCACTCGAGACAGAGAAAGGTATAAGAAAAAACAGGAAGATGAGAGATTATTTTCTAAGGTAAGGACTCCTTAGCAAGTCATATTGTAATATGACAAAATAAAGTTGTCCTAAATCATTTTAATTTTTTTTAATTGGATATTGGATCTGTACATATATTGTCTGGATATTTCCAATTCTGAAACTATATTAGAAGAAAAGTCCATGTCAATCAAAGTATATACTTGACTGTAAGGGCAGGCTAAACTGGGAAGTTTAATGGTTACAGTGATGAACTGGTGAAGGGCAGACTTATTCATAGAAAATGCTCTTAAACTGGTTGTTGTTCTCTTTTCTTTTTTTTTTATTGTTTTAATTTGTAATATTAAAAAATATTTTATAACTTTTAATTGTTTAGTATAGCACTTTGGGCAACTATTTTTCCGTGTTTAAATAAATAAATTTTACTTATTTGTCTTATTTGTGTGCAAACCTAGCAAACTTGTGGACTATTTTTTATCAGATCTGACTGAAATAATCATTTTTTCCCCCCCAAACACGCTATAGTCAAAGCTTATACATCGTGTTTTCTTCTGACTTTTATACCTCCTTTACAGATCATGTGTCATTTGTGTTGAATTCAGCTGCTGGTGTAACAGTATTCCAATTTCTCGGGGGTTTTTTTGCTCATTCATAGAAGCTGTACAAGAAGGAAGTGAGGCCTCCTTTCAAACCGACCGTTGGCAGACCTGAAGACACTTTCCATTTTGACCCTGAGTTCACCTCCAGAACACCTACTGGTAACTAAAGCATGTAGACACACATGCAAATACAGAATTAATGTATAGGTTATAGGCGACTGGGTTCAACGAGGAACAGAAAAAAAAGAAAACTACCATACTGATCAATCGTTTTTACTAAACTTTAATATTTCTAAAACACTGTCAAGCACTCTGCAGACGTTTGGTTCAATGTGTCTTGGGATATCCAGATTCTCCAGGCATCCCTCCCAGCGCGAACACACACCAGTTGTTTCGTGGTTTTAGCTTCGTTGCAACTAACCAAACTCAGGAGTCCAGTGTTGCTCCAGTAGCGGCCACTCCTCAAGAGCTGAACATCAACCCCATCGCACAGGTATAACTCTACATCTAATTAAATCACAGACTAGCACACAGTTTGTGTATTTAGGTTTCTGACCTTTCCAAACATTACCTCAAATAAATTCCCTGTCAGCAACTACATAAGTCATTTAATGTTGTAGTGTTTGTGCACCTGATTATGTGTTTTCTACATAGCATCTCTGTGGTGATTTGGCCTTCGGTGATGTTTATGATCTGAAAGAAGAAATCGGACACACGGGAACCTCTGTCTGCAAAAGATGTCTGCACAGAATTACTTCAGTGGAGTATTGTGTGAAGGTAGGGGACACTTAACCTGAACTGCAATTTATTTAAATACACTATTGATTTACTCTTTGCCTTTAGAGCCTCAGCAGTAATATTCTTTACTATGATGGTGTTGAATGTAAACAGGGCTATTTGTTAGCTTGTGAAATGACTATTTGGGGCTGCTTACATATTAAAATAAAATGTAGTCAAACTGGACAAAACTTGCATGCTTCCTGAGCTGTAACTCAGAGTTAGTTACAAATCACTGGTGATCCATCATGCTAATATGCTGTGCACATTTATGTCAGATTATTGACAGAGCGAGGAGAGATCCGTCAGAAGAGATTGAGATTCTGTTAAGATATGGACAGCATCCAAATATTATTACCCTGAAAGATGTAAGTACAGCACATGAGCCTGCAGAATAGTGATTTTTAATTTGCATGTAATTTTTCCTAAGCATTTTTTCTTTTTTTTAAAAAGATATTTGTTTGTATCTTTCTTCTGCATTCACCTTTACCTATAGGTGTTTGACGATGGCCAGTGTGTGTATCTGGTTCAGGAGTTACTGAGAGGGGACGAGTTGCTGGACAAAGCTCTGATGCACACAAATTTTACTGAGAGAGATGCATCAGACATCATGTGTGCTCTGACCAAAACTGTGGAATATTTACACTCACAGGGGGTAAGCTGGATGAAAGGAGGGCTTAAAAATCAATCTTTGAATTCAGGTGGGGCGGTTCAGTCCCAGTGCCATAACATAGTGCATATACATTGCCAAAGCTCCATAACTTCAGAGGTCATTAACATCAGCACAAAAGCTGTGTGCTGGGAGCTTCAATGGCAATGTCCATGTAGTATATTTATATGTATGTACATTATTAAGGCTTAATGGTGACTTGTTATTATTTTTTCCAGGTTGTACATCGAGACTTGAAACCCAGCAACATCCGCTATGCAGATGACAGTGGACTCCCAGAATGCATCAGGATATGCGACTTTGGTTTTGCCAAACAGCTCAGAGCTGAAAATGGTTTGCTGATGACTCCCTGTTACACAGCTACGTTCATGGCTCCTGAGGTACATCAGCAGTCATTACAAGGTGCATCTCAGTATCACTTATACAAATTATTTAACAGATATCTGTGAGTGGTTTTCTTTGCTTTTTTTGTATATGTGCAGATTTTGAGGAAACAGGGTTATGATGCAGCCTGTGACATCTGGAGCCTGGGGATCCTGCTCTACACTATGATAGCTGGGTGAGTTTATAAGGTCTTAATACAACTCACACTCACAGGTTGTGATACAGTTCAGGTGTAAACTGTATGCAATGTTGCAATTTTCTTCAAAGACTCCTGCAACAGCAATAAACAGGATGTCTAAATACCCCCCCCCCCCCCCCGGTGAAATAACAGTGAGACAATAAGAGAGAGTCATGCATTTTTTATTAGATTGAATTGCTTTCTGTAAGTGGGCATTGTTGTTGGTCAGTTTCAGCCCATTTGCCAGCAGTCCCGAGGACACAGCAGAGGAGATTCTGGCTCAGATCGGCTGTGGGAAATTCATTATCACAGGAGGAAACTGGGAGCTGGTGTCAGAAGCAGCCAAGGTTCAAACATCTTAATGCTTTCTGATTTGCATAAAATGGAAATGTTTGCCTCTAGCATCGTAGTATCAGTGCAGAACAAATATATTAACCGTTCATGTCCCCATTTGTTTAACAGGATATCGTGGTTAAGATGCTCCATGTGGACCCCCATCAGCGTTTGACTGCCCCACAGGTACCATTAGTCCATAACATAAACTGGCCTGTCATATGGCATATTGTGCTATTAGTATAGTGCAGGTCCCACCTTGACAGTTTTTTTCCATCATGATATAATGAATATGCTATAGATATTAATTTTATTAATTTAGACAAAGCAATAGATTACAAAAGTGTATACAAACTGAAATTTTACATACATATCATTTCCTTTAGCCCAGATGTACACATATGCACTGAGCCTGATGTTCATACCACGACAGTATATCATGTGTTTGACTATATACCTACACTGTTTGCAATACTACAGATGTATCATGGTTGTGGTGTTACCACGTTATATACATTATATACATTCAGAGCTGATATCAGTTTTACTGTGATGCTTTTCAGGTTCTTCGTCACCCCTGGATTGTTGAGAGAGACCAGCTCTCTGACGAATGTCTCACCAGACAAGATCCACTCATTGTCAAGGTCAGACCCTTTGTACTGTATGTAATTACAAATACAGATTACTATAGAGATAAGCATATTATCCCCTGTATTGTGCTAATATAGATAGAAAAATCACTTATATATCTATTGCTCAATCTAAAATCTTCTAAGGAGACCTCCAAAGAAAAGTGGATGTTTATAGTTTTTTGGGGTGGGTATTTTTATACTGTAGCTCCTACATTTTATGCTATTAATGTTTTGAGTTTGTAAGACTGCTACCTATATCAGGTCACTGTAACAGAAACTTTAACATTTTATTTAACCAGGAAGTCCCACTGAAATAAAGTGAATTCTACCTTAAAACAGAAGTTTGGTTCATCTTCGATGTTTAATGCAGAGTAGTCTTAAAAAGTATCTGGGAAAAAAAACACTTAAATTGTACCTGAAAGTATCAGATGTATTTGGATAGAGGAATGCAGCTTATAAATCGCTCCATTTTTACCAGCAGTGGTGCTGATTTACTGGTATGTCCATATTTTCAGTATTAGAGTGGTCTCCTATTAAACTGATTAATTTGCACAAAAAGAAGTAGGATTCAAAGTTGCATGCATAGCTTTATAACTGTTTCAGAGTAGTCCTCAAGGTCTGATTAGTTGATAATAAATATAAGTACACAATTTTAGTAAGTATAATTCTATAATTTCATACATGCCACAAAAATCTGTTATTGTTAAATTGAGTACTAAATTAGTACTTAATATTAAGTACTAAATAAACACTGTAGAGTAGCCACATGTGGTAAATGATTTATTAGTAATTCTAATAGGTTAACCTCATAGATTAAGTATACATTTTAATCATACATTTTAACATAGGCTATTAAGGTACATAAGAGAAGATGCACTTTACTTTAAAGTTTGGGAATTCTTTTGTTATAACAGGTACAAAAATTATATATATTTAATAGCTAATATAATTAAATGGGTAACCATCAAATAGATTGTCTGGTCAATAATTCCTTTAAAATGGCTCTTTTGATAGTAAAGGTGTCACCTGAATTACACTGATCCAATACAATGCATTCTACTTTTATTCCACTAGGGGGCTCTATCTGCCACCTATTCTGCTTTGAGGCGCTGTGCTCCTGCCCCTGTCCTGGAGCCTGTTCAGTCTTCTGGCCTTGCTCAGCGGAGAGGGATGAAGAAACTCGGGAGTCCAAAACTCACTTCAGATCCTAAGGAAAAGGAATAGCCTCAACCATTTGAATGCAGCACAAATATAATTTTAGCTTTTAATCGTAGACCTGCATTCTAAAAAGCACAAATCACATCTAATAAACTATAACATGACAATATAGAGGCCTACTTGTACTGGCACCAGGATTAGCGTCAAGTCACTCGGTGAATTGTTTCAATTTTAACAGCTTGATGCACTGATATAAAATTCATCACATGCACCTTCATTGGAAACTGTGAAACTGAGTGGCTTGAGGAAGTCAAATAATAGACCTTAAAATAAATTATTCTTAATTTTGAAAAGAGAATTTTCAATTCAAACATACAGACATTTTATTAAAAAATTGCTTTTAACTTACCCGTCCTTTGGAAGCTGGCCTTGATTTCAGTTGGTTAACATCCTTGGTCATATAAGTGGCAAGGCTGTCTTATAATACACACAGACAAACTCTTATCTGCCTTGAATTACTGTACATTTGCAGGAACGGCTGCAGTTCAAAGTAAGAAACAGACTGAAAAAAGGAGTATTCAGTGCCACAAACATAAAAGTAGCAGTATGGTTTATATATTTTTGTATGTCAACAAAAGCATAGCATTTATTGTTCCAAAGTCATAACTTATACACACAGCATCTCTCTTAGATTAGCATATTTTACTCCAATCCTCAGACTCATGCCTGTTAAAAATGTAAATATCCTACCAAAGGGAATTATTTATTTAAAAATGCCATCTACATTAAGAACCACTGGATGTTGCACTCGAGCACCAGCAGAACAAAACAACCTAGCGTAAATATATATATTGTACGGCTGAGGTATAGTACAATTAAGAACACCAGAGGCCAGTGCCACTGGCACCTTTCTGTACCAGATTTTTTTTTTTTTTTTGCCAGATTCAGCTGCTTTCATACGGTGTTGTTCATGTCTGAGGTGGAGCAACACTTGTTGGGAGACTTTAGTCCTCAGCAAGTCGTCATTCAACTGGAGTAACATCATTTCCACTTTACCCATGTCTCTTCTGTTCTGCTCCTCTGGAATATACAGCTACTGAGATACTGAACAGCTATGCTCAAATTTCAAAACACACAGGAAGACTGTGACTATTTACAGAACCTATAGCAATGCCATTTAGTCTTATTGGTAGAAAATGTGATCAAGATTTTTCTTGCATAATTGTCTTCCACAGCCTTTGATTCACTGAGTAGTCTTTAAAAGAAACATGGCACACTCTGCAGTCTATACATTTTAGACAACGTCCAGCATAATTCATCAATTTGCATGTGCTCAAATGTGTTTATCAGTAGGCTTATGTTTGCCATTAGTATCTGAAAGCCAAAACATTGGAGAATCACTGTGTCAGATTTTTGTATATACTGTCTAATGCTGCTGCCCTGATTTTATCTAATGAGATGTTCACTCATAAAGACGAGGTATGATAGAACAGGGTTTTTTGCAGATACTAGTAGCACTTTGTGTTGTACAGGTAAGCCGTAGCAATGTAGATTATAATGCTCCACAAGTTAGAAACATACTTGCTGATCAGAGGTAAAACGTTTTGAGATGTGCAAGAAATAAGCACTGTAGTAGAGACTAGAGATGGACCGATCCGATATTACGTATCGGTATCGGTCCGATACTGACC